CGCCAGACCGAAGACGCGGCCCAGACGACGGGCGGCGACGAGGCGACGACAGGGCGGCGACAACGGCCACATAGCCGCCAAACCGAAGACACGGCCTTGATACGGATGACTGAACCTATGCGAAAACCACTTCCGTAACACAAATGTCATTACAACCGTTCCGTCGTGGAATTCGCCCGAAGAGAAACCGAAATCGTCCGCGCAGGTGGTGATGATATAAGCTGGCCGAATGAGGGGAAGATAGGCTCGCCGAAGACAAAGATCCACTGCTAATGCTAAAATGGCGCCGCCCAGAGGGGCACGACAACTTGACTCTTCGCAGAGCGACTGCCAAAACGAAACCAGCACCGATTGCTGTAAATGATTTGCTTCAGCGCACGTTGGCGTCAAACTCAAGTTGCTTTGTTGCACTCCGGCGGCAAGTTCATATTCACCGTGACCAGAAAGATCCACGGATGAGATCACGACGGCAATACAACTCGTGTGCCACAACATGCTTTTACGCCTTTACCGCCTGCCATTCGCCCGAGGAGCGGTGTTCAATGTCGTGTGCTCTCATCAACTAAACCCCGCTGTACATACACTGTAGTGGTAGACGCCTGCTCAGCAAAGCTACTGTTCATGAGCATGGTAACGATAGGGTTGAAATAATGGGATAAACATGCGGTGTGGTTGTTTCCGCTGGCCTCCATGATTCAGAATGAGATTGTGGGGTCGACCATCTTTGTATGTGTACGGAGAGTGCGTAATTGAAATCGCCATTGACTTCGCCACCACAGCGCACACATACATTATATGTGGTAGATGCAACTCACGCGGCTTAAGGGAGTCCGTTAGGGCCAATAGCAGCCCAAAATGTGGATAACTTGTGCCCCAAGTAGCTGACATGTCGCAATTGTGGCGCGTTGTGGATCTACCGCTTGAAGCGGTTGTCCTGCTATGGACATGGTCGAAAAAGTGTGGGCTTTTCGCCTGTACTTTCCCATGCCTTTGCTCCGTCGTCGTTGTCGAGACCACAGATTTTGCATATCTGTACGATACGCAATCGCCGCTGTCCTTTCTTGGCAGGTGCCGTGTCCGCTTCCTCAGACTCATCCAATATTGCTCCAATGAAACACGACCACAATCAACACATTGCACATGCTTAATCCAAGAACCAGTGCCAATCTATTGAGAATAGCTGTGTCGCCCTCCTGCGCGCCCAAAAAGCCACCGAAAGGCCCAAGAGAGCTCCAAGAGCACCCCCAAGAGAACCCCAAGAGGGCAAACTAAACGGTGTTCCTTCAATGTTTGAACGTTTTTCGTTGTCGCCTTGGTTTTCGTGGTGGTGGTCGTGGTCGTGGCAGTGGCCGTGGTTGGTCATCGCCGTGGTGGTCGTCGTCGCCGTCGTAGTCCTTCAGGGTCGGCAGCAACGGCCGCTGGGCCTTCGCAACATGTGGAATAGCCGTGTCCTGCGCGCGGAGGAGGTTGCCTGCGCGCACGGCTCGTCAATAGCAAAGGGCCGCGACCTGTGTTGAGCTTTAGAGGAGGGGTGGAGATCGGCAATACGGTTCAATAAGAGATGGCCTGCTGGACTGACTCTCGGAGCTCCTCGATGGCAACCATATGCAACCATGGGGTCCGTGGCAAGAGGCACCACAAACTCAAACACCGCTTCCCGACGTTGCGGAAACATGCCGTGTATTGAAACCCGAAATGGGTCCACTGGGCAGCCAGCGGAACCTTCATGAATAGTATGTTGACGGGGATGAGCGTACAGTGGGGCATGATCGCCAGGCTGAACGGGATCGAGGCCGCATATCGACGACGTCTTGGGGGAAATGGTGGAGCAGCAACGATCAAGCTTACCGACCCAATCGAGAGAATCGTCTCGAGTCTCACGGTGGCTGAAGATCCCCTGACCAAACTTGGTCCAATCCTGAAGCAGTTCGCAACCAAAGCAAATAAACAACGGCTGGGTCGCTAGCGTGATCGCACATGTGACTCGCCAGGCTCGTTAACAGTGAAGCCGCCTAACAACAAGCTGATGCCCTGGGTGGATGAGAGGGTGGCAACCTTGGTGCCGCAGTGAGTACTCGTTGTGCTTCAGCCCATCGGCGACTAGGATCAAGATGCATGCTGGTTACTTGATTGTTCTTGTTGGCTTGAGAGCGGCACCTGATGAACATTACCATTTGAAGGGGCCCTGAGACACACAAATAAATACACACAAATCACCGGAATGCCAATATTTTCCCATGTGTTCTGGGTTTTTGTCTTCCCCCCACTCCCCCATATTTTCCCATATTCTCTGGGGAATCGACGATTAATTGTGTGTAAGACCATTGTCGGATTGATGACGAGTGACAGTATGGCACCCGTGGAGAAGGGTAGGGGCCAGCCGAGGTGTGCAAAGCACCTCCAGCACTGGCAGAATCCGCGCACGTCCCGCAGACATCGTGACCTAGGGAGCCGCGCCTCAGAGTTCCAGACCCCCCCCTCCTCCTCCTCCTCCTCCTCCTCCTCCTCCTCCTCCTCCTCCTCCTCCTCCTCCTCCTCCCTCCTCCTCCTCCTCCTCCTCCTCCTCCTCCTCCTCCTCCTCCTCCTCCTCCTCCTCCTCCTCCTCCTCCCCCTCCCCCTCCCCCTCCCCCTCCCCCTCCCCCTCCTCCTCCTCCTCTCCTCCCCTCCTCCCTCCTCCTCCTCCTCCTCCTCCTCCTCCTCCTCCTCCTCCTCCCTCCCCCGTCTCCCCAGCCATCTCCGCTGCCCCCCTTGATCGGCGACGAAATCTACACATACCCACTGCTCCCTGGCCAGGCCCATCCTCAACCCAGCAGCAGTGTATACGCCACGCCCCCTGGCTTGGCCAGGAGGGCGTATACACAGCTCCTGGGTTCAGGATGGGCCTGGCCAGGGAACAGTGGAGATGTACAGATTTCGTTGACCGAGTTGATGCTTGCGCGATAGGCGCGATCAACGTCCGTCCAACCGACTCGGCGCTCGGGCCGGCCCTGCGGCCGCGGGAGGAGGGAGCCGACAAGGGGAGACGGGGAGGTGGAGCGAGGAGGGGGGAGAGGGTGGGACGGAAGAGGGTAGGGTCAGGTCGGGCATGTACTCCTACAGGCGGATTTTGGAAGAAATGCAGAGAGCAGTCAAGAAGTGAATAATCAAGAGTCGTCAATAGAACACGAAACCTCGTCACTTGACTATTTCTGTGCTAATCTTGAAGATTCCTCCTGTAGGCTTAGGTCGGGCATGTCCTCCCACAGGCGGATTTTGGAAGAAACACAGACAATAGTCAAAAAGTCATCGAACATAGTCAAAGGAGCACGAACAATCGACACTTGACTATCTTTTGCTGTTATTGAAGATTCTTCCTGTAGAGGGACGTGCCCGACTCGAGGGTAGGGGCGGAGAATGCAGGGAGGAGGGGGGGGGGGCACGGGGGGAGGGAGGGGCAAAGGCGGGGGAAGGGGCTGGAGGAAGCGATTGGGGAGGAGGGGAGGGAAGAGGGGAGCAGGGAGGGCGGCGGGAGGGGAGGGGGTGGAGGACAAGCTATGTGCGCTCGCGTCATATCTGACATCCTACCCCTCCCTCCCATCCCTTACCATGGCGTAGATCCTCTCTCTACTCGCACAGTCGGATGTCGAGCAGGGCAATGATCCCGAAAGGTTACGCGATGCATTGTAGAGCACGGCATGGCATGGCGTAGAAGAGCACCGCAAAACGTAGCATCAACCTAGCATTGCATTGCATGCCGTGGCATGGCACGGGAAATGACGCCAGCGCTGCAGCGGGAGCACGAGTCGGAACGAGCGGAAGCGCGAAAATGAGGCCAGCGCTGCAGCGGGAGCACGATTCGGAACGAGCGGAAGCACGGAAATGAGGCCAGCGCTGCAGGGGGAGCACGATTCGGAACGAGCGGGGCCCGAAAATGAGGCCGGCGCCTCAGCGAGAGCAGCATTTTGGGGAAAAAAGTGCAGGCGAAAACCCAACTCCGGGGAATCCTGCGTAAAAAACAGTGCGCGGGGGGGGCTAATACTTTCAAACCGTCATCAAGGGAAGAGGGCGAGTAGTATTCATATTGAGTAATTGTGGAGGAGGAGGAAGAGGAGGAGGAGGAGGAGGAGGAGGAGGAGGAGGAGGAGGAGGGAGGAGGAGGAGGAGGAGGAGGAGGAGGAGGAGGAGGAGGAGGAGGAGGAGGAGAAAGAGAGGAGGAGGAGGAGGAGGAGGAGGAGGAGGAGGAGAGAGGAGGAGGAGGAGGAGGAGGAGGAGGAGGAGGGGAGGAGGAGGAGGAGGAGGAGGAGGAAGGAGGAGGAGGAGGAGGGAGGAGGAGGAGGAGGAGGAGGAGGAGGGGGAGGAGGAGGAGGAGGAGGAGGTGGAGGAGGAGGAGGAGGAGAGAAAGGCGGCGCGGGACGGGAAGGATGTGGGATGCGGGGGCGGAGGAGGAGAGGAGATGAGGAAACGAGAAGAGCTGAGAGGAGTGAGCACGGGAAGTGGAGAGGGAAGCGCAGGAGAAACGAGGGGAAGCCAGAGGTGGGACAGAGGGAGGGAGGACGAAGAGGAAGAGGACGAGGAGGACGAGGAGGACGAGGAGGAGGATGAGGAGGAGGGGGGGAAGAGGAGGAAGAGGACCCGCCTCAGATACGTCTGAACACCAACGACACAGAGTCCACGACGAAGTAACTTCGATCCAACACGTCCTTCATGCACCTGCCCTTGCGCAAGATCGATTGCTCCGTGGCCGTGCGACTGGTCGCCCAGCTCCCTAATGGCGCGACCTTCGCATTCTCCACGCGGAAACGCACGAGCAAGTTCAGGATCGACTGCAACGTATTATCAAAATTCGCCAGATGCAATCTGCGAACGTCCACGTAGTACAGCCAAGGAAATTCGACTAGAATCAGGAAGTCTCGCTCCTCGGGGCCTTCTGTATTTCGATGATCCCAAGTGCCACCAGCTTGAGCAGCCGTGCCCGATTCTCAGCCCCTGGCACCCTGCAATTACTGAACATATCCTTGTCC